CTTGAAGTACAGTCCAACAAACAAATCTCGCTTCTTTTCTTTTACATAGTAAAAATCAGTGGTGTAAATAACACCTCGAACCCTCTGGCCGGCGGGGATGCAAATTCGAAGACGGTGTCCTCCGCAGACATATAGTGTAATATATTCAAAGCAAATAACCACCGGAAAAGAGTAGATTATTAACAGTGTAGATGCTTAACTTCGATTGTTTATGTTTCTACGTAGGAAGATTCTCACCTAGAAATTTGTTTGTTATTAAGTAAGCCACAATTGAACAAAATTTTTTGAATATGATTATTATTATTATTACTCTTATTTGTCTATAATTAAATAAGGACGTCGGTATTCTCACAATTTCTAGAAAATGAGGTTCTTAATTTGGTCTCTTTTTAAAAAAAATCTAAAATTAGAATTTACGATTTTCGTTTTGTGATAACCTGTATAAAGTAAAAACCGGCTGCTTAAATAACACCTCCACCACCCCTGCGTTGTACGGACAATGTAAAATATATTTAAAACACTTCACTAACGGGATAAAATGTTCTTCAGCACTAGGTATTAGCAATCGGAAGCTCAGGTGTTTATGTTTAAACATCGAAAAATGTCACGTAGAAATTAATTTGACTTGAATGAGTTTGCTTCATCAAAACAGAGGACCAAAATTATTAGTTAAACCACAATCAAACAAAATGTTCTGAATATTATAATTCTTAAATTCGGAGGCTTCCACGGTCGAAATCAATCTCAGAAGAGTTTCGCCTCTGGAATGGTTGACACGCGTTTTCTTTTGCCTTACTCCTAATTTTTTAACCCTGCTCTTGAAGATATGTCACTTATGAAAGTGTGCGAAACGTTGAGCCCAAAAACTCAATTAACACGGTCCCAACCCGGAAAACGATTATAATTCTTATTTTATCAATAAAGACATTTTCGGAAAATGAGGTGACTCCTTAATTTGAGCAATAAAAAATTTATGATGACGACAACATGGATAATACACAATGTGAGAGAAAATGAGAGAAAGAACAAAAAACCGAAAGGCGAGTTTTTTCTTTAGACAATTTTGTGATGACGTCATCAACATTTTTGCAGGGACACGTATATAAACTTGGAATACTAAAAGTAACAGTATTGTATTGCCAAAATTTTCTGAGAAAATTTGGAGTGAGCCGTTCCTGATTTAATCAATAAAATAAATTTACTCATTCATTTTTTTTGACACACCTGCTTAAGCAAATCTAAAAAATATGAATGCATAAATTACAAGTAAAAACTCATCATGTTTAGCACATTTTGGGTAGAATTTATTCGACAAAATTTTGAGATGACGTCATCAATTTTTGGGGTTGATAAACACATACATTTTGATTAAAAAGTTACTATGCTTACAATAACTCCAAAACATCTACAAAATTTCAAACTATTCAGTTTTGCAATTTTTGATTTAATCAATCAAATAAATTGATTGACTAATTTTTTTGAGACACTCTTGATAAGTAAATCTAAGAAATATTCATAAGTAAAGTAAATCACAAGTATAGACTCATCATATTTGGCAAATTTAACATTTATTTAGCACTATTTTGAGGTGACGTCATCAATTTTTTAGAGAGATGAGCAAATATATTTTGATCAAAAATTTACCATGCTTATGATTACTTTAAAACATCTCAAAAATTTCGAAGCATTCGGTTTTGCAGTTCCTGATTAAATCAATAAAATAAATTCACGTATTTGTTAATTTTTTTAAGTCACCCTGTATAAGCAAATCTAAAACATATGAGTGGAATGATAAATCACAAGTATAGACTCATCATATTTTGGACATTTTAGATAGGATTAATTCAGGAAAATTTTGAACTGACATCATCAAATTTTTGGAGGGGATAAATACATTTTGATTAAAAATTTATCATGCTTATCATAAGTTTAAAGCATCTGCACGATTTCAAAGCAATCGTTTTGCAGAATCAAAATTAAATTGCAAAATGTTGCATAATTTTGATTTTTTTTCCAAAAATCTGGCAAAACTCAACATGGTGTCATAAACTACACGTGTAGGACTATGTTATTTTATACAATTTAAAACCCATATACTATACATATACATTTTTGAACTTACGACGTCTTCACATTATTGGTGGACATGATTAGACACATTTTGGTTAACGTTTTACTATCTACATGAAACTCTTAATATAAATGCAAATTTTGACAAAAATCGGCCCAGTACTTTTGGAGATTATCTGTCTAATAAAAATCCAGGACGGCAGGCAGATAGACAGACAGACAGATAGACGAAAACGGGAGACTGATTTCTTCGTACTGTAGGGGTCATGAAAGGTCGAGAAAACGTAAAAGTAGAGAGTCGGTCGACGGAATCGATTACATTAAAAATAAAGGGACAAATTCGACCGCAGGACGCCGTTCCCCGAGAAAGCCATGGCGCCACGAAGAGTTATATCCCGCGTTGGAAATATAACGTTATTATACCTTGCAAATGTTTTTGAGAAAATTGTAGCATTTAGCGAAAAAACTGAAAGCGAATTCGTACACTACAAGTATAGTATATTTTTTATATATCATGCAAATCATTTTAAAATACAATTCGTTGAAATGACATCATCAAATTGTTTTGGGGATGACTAGCCAAATTTTGGTTAGCGTTTAACCTTCTACATGATATTTGTAATACATACAAAATTTGAGAACAATCGGTTCGGCAGTTTCGGAATTACTTGTTTAGTAAAAATGGATATAGACACCAGACAGACACACGAACAGACAGACAGACGGAAACGGTAGACTACTTTTTCATACTGTAGGGATCATGAAACGTCGAGAAAACTTAAAAGTGGTCATTCGTCCAAGGGACTTGATTACTACACTTCCTTAGCCTACGCTCTGGAAGTAAAAATATATGTGGACTGTTTATGTACCTACAGGTAAAGAAGAAAGTTATGTAGTAGCGTAAATAACACCTTTGCAGCCCCTATGCCACAGAGGTACAGGCACCGACATTGCCAATAATATTTAAAACAGATAACCAACGGGAAAAAATATATTATCAGTACACGCTTAACGTCGATTGTTTACGTGTATACAACAAACAAAATCGACGATTAAGCACTCAGCAAGCTGCATCGTAAAAACAGAGGAGCCGACTAAAATTATTAATTAAACTGGATTGAAGAAAAACGTTCTGGATATTATTTTGGGTAAGTATATATTATAATTTTTATTTAAGTATTGTTAATTATAGACGGGCGCAACATTGCTCTATCATGAAGCGTTCTCGATTTGATCAATAAAATAAATTGTGACCCATGAGTTTATCGAACCAGATAAAATAATAACTTTATCCTGAAATAAAAAGTAAATGCTTAATTTATAGGATTATGAAGTTCTGTGCCTTCGCGGAGTTCACCACACGTCAGTGCTCTTGTACTGATATAAAATGTGATGATGTAATTTGAACTTTTTTTGAAAAAATCGGTATACCTAGAGTAAAAAATTGAGGTAGATTCATAAATCACCAGTTCGAAACGTCATCAAATTATTGGTGGGATTAACTAAATTTTGGAATTTTAGTTAGCGTTTTATCATCTACATGATATTCCTAACGTATATATAAAATTTGTCGACAATCGGTCGCGTAGTTTCAGAAATTCTCTGAGAAGATAGAGACAAACGACAGACGGCAGACGGCATGCAGACAGACGCAGACAGATAGACAGACAGACAAACAGAAACAGGAGACTTTTTTCGTACTCTAGAATTTTAGGTTACGTTCGGGAAGTAAAAATGGGTTAAAAATAAGCATTTTGTAGAACAAAAAGAAGAAGATAAGGACGATACAGTTGAACAAATAGTAATGAAAGTGGAATAGAGGAAGCTATTTAATTGTATAAAAACATAGTTTCTTATTAATATAATAAAGAAATTCCAAAATTGATGAAGATAAACGGTGTTAACGAAATAGTCAGAATAATTTTGACGTTTGGAGGTGAAACATGAATAACAACAAAAGACAGGGATCACAACTACACAGTATGAAATTTTTTTTTTGTAAGAAAAGTAAAAGGAAAAAATCGTGGAAGAAGAACATAATTCGACTTCATTTCCCCAACACTAAAACGTAGAAGGAGAGTAGTATTGAGTAAATGATTATAATTCCGTTAACACCACTTCACATTCTAAATCAAATTCTACTTTAAATTTTTTTAACTAAACTATTTTCCATCTCTTAATCTGTCCTCCAGTACAATTTATTAAAATATTAAAAAAAAAGTAACATGCGTCACACAACTGAGAAAGTTATTGTAGCATTTCTTTGCTTTTTAACTTTGTAAATTAAAAAAAATCGGATAAAATTTCTGAAAAATCTATATTAAGTTTTCAACAACAAATAAATTAGTAAACAAATAAATGTTAATTTTTAATGGTTTAGCTTTTAATGACGAAAATTTTATTTTTAGTGTAGCAAGTATGTATCGCATAAGAAATTGAACGTAACGATCAGCAGAAAAAAATAGTTAAAAGATACAATGATCGCTGACAAAATAGAAATCATATAGGAAACCAAATTTACTATTTGGTTTCTACATGACTTCTGTTCTTCTTCTTCAGTGAACAATTAATTAAGCAATTAATTTTACTTACAGTGTATTAAAAGTGGTGCAAAATAATAGTCACCATTAACCATAACCAAAACTTTTAAAGTATTGCTGAGCAAACTATCACACGAATCCACCGTATAATAAAAAACCCAGTCAGATAATAGGACACCACTAAAATGTAATAATCTCTACACCTTTATGCATGCAGTAATTACACTTAATTAGTCGCCACTTATCTTAACAGAAACGACGACCAACAACACCGAATAACGTCAACATGACGAAATAAATGTCTTTGCCGTTTATTTTCGCAGAAACGTTATCTACCTAATTATAGCCAGTGTACTTTGCATAGTAAAACAAGGAGACGCTTTCTTACTTTTATAGATAAAGTTCCAACACAAACGACGTCAAGTTTACTTTACCTGCTTAGTTGTCATTGAAAATATTGAATTTAAAGAGCAAACTTTGCGTGCAACTGTATTTACTTGGGCAGCAGGCAGTCATAAAATGGTAAGTAATTGCTAACCAGCCAACAATAAACAATTTTGAAACGCACGCTTCAGTTAATTGAACATCGATAGTTCAAACGATCACGGAAAACATTTCGTTTAAAAGACCACAGCGAACGAACGCATTCAAATCCACTGACCGAATAATTGCAACGAGCAACTGCACTCGTTGTAATGAATATTTGCGAAAAGCTTCGTTTAACGAGTTTTAGAGAACGCTTTGAGCTTGCTACAAAAAAATCTTTCTGATAAAAAACGAATCCAAGTACAAATACAATTTTACATTTAATTTAACTTGTTAAGTTTAAACTACAAGCTTGTTAAAGAGCTCCAAAAGTTCTGCTTGATCCCGCCAGCGTCGGTGGTAGTTAAGTCACTCAAGTTAACGTCTTTACACAAAAAAGTTGTGACACATTTATTTTATTTTACATGAGAACAAGTTTTACAGCGTTGAAAGTTACCTTTTGAGGTTTTGTGTTTCAGATTACAACAAAAAAAAAAAAAAACAAGAAAAGGGATTAATTGTCTCTTTCATTACCGCCAAATCTTATTTTAATCCTTTTTTCTTTGATTAAGAAATTTATTTTCATGCAATTTTTCGGCGTCTTTCGGTCATCTTAGGTGGTCAGATTTTTAATTTTAAACTTTCCGTCCTTTGTGTAACTTGTAAAGCTTTTGGAAGTTGTTCGAAAGTTCGAGGAGCGCCTCGTCCAGTGTGCTCCCGTCCTTGCCACTGTCTTTTCCCGCATCTCCTTAGATTTTCAGTATTTACCTGCAAATTAGAGCGCTTTCGCCTGAATTTATTTTTGTCGAAAGTTAGCACAAACACGGCGAGTACTTGAAGCGTAGGTAATGTTTACATTGAATCAACATGTTCCGTTATAAATACAGATTGCCCGCTTCTAATTCGACCCTCTCGCTGTGTAAACATTCAGACTGAAAATACCGTCTCGTTTCGACTCGAATCGATTTCAGCAGACTGACGTCTGAAAAACTCCAGGGTCCTAATCCAACAACCATTCAGATTAAGTCGTCCGATGTAATTATAACGAAATTAGTTTTCGTTTGTGTCAGGTTCTTCCAGAAAATGCTTGGATATGCTTAAAGGATTAAATTGAGTCCGCTTAATGAGGGGTTTGAATTTTGCGTAAGTACCTTTAGATTTCAGACGTGATTGTTGACGGTGGATGTGTTATTGAAAAACATTTATGATGAACGTGTGGAATTTGGTAGACAGTATATTTTTGGAGTTGTGTATAACAATGGAAAAAATGGAGTACAATGCATTAAAATTAACTGGGGCAAATAAACACAGCGTTTGATTTTGTAGAATGTTTGGAAAATAAATCGACCATTTATTATACTTCGGATTTTAAAGTAGCCTTTATGATGTTTTTGTCGAAGATTTCATCGAGACATCAAAACAATGGAAAACCGATGTCAAGGTTTGTGGAATCACTTTATGACGATGGATTTTTGCTGGATGTTACAACATAATGCTTCCAACTAAAGTTTGTTTATATGAAAGTATATGGTCATCAATTTATGTCAATTCTGAAACTACAAAATAAAGTCACTAAGGAAGAAAAATAAGCCGCAATAATTTCAAATAAAACATAGAAGTAAATAATTGTAATGTAATTAGCATTTTTAAATGCGAAGGCCGAAAACTTCCAAAACGGTATCCACTAAAATTAAAATTAAAGACATGTTGTCACAGAGAAATTAAAGCACCGTTTCTTCTTGAACAATCCAAATAACATATTAAAAGGTAAAATGTTATTTACTAATTAAAATTTATCAGAGAGTAATTTCGACCAAACGTAGTAAAATTAAAATCCTTAACAAGGGAAGTTTACACACCAAACAATTTTAACCTAAATCGGCAGACAAGCCTTAATCCACCAATGGAAATGAGCGGATGTACACCCCGTGTCCATCGCATTGTTTAACAACGTATGAATAATAATCTAATACAGGAGTTTGGGTAAAGTACAACCTACGTGAGAATAACCATCCTCAGATAATTGAGGAATTAGATGTAGACAATTTCGTTCATCAATCATCAAATATTTCACTTAAAATGGAATTTTAATGTCTATTATTTGGATATTCAAAAAACATGGTCGAAGATTATTTCGACAGAACTTTTCTCGTCCATAATGTACAGTACGTACAACAAATCCAGCTGTTCCAAAAAACTATAAGATATGATTTTGCGAATTTTATTAATTACTTACCGAGCGTAAGCTAAGGAAGTATAGTAATCGAATTTATCTGACGAATTGCCATCACTTTTGGTTCGATGCCGAATTTGGCGATTTCCATTTTTTTTCTAGCACTAGTAATGCGCTGTGGCAACTTTTCTTTTGTGCTGTGAGTAGTATTATCCATGTTGATGGCGTCATCACAAATTTTTTAATGATCAAGTTACAACCCCATTATCTCGAGAATGTGAGAATACGCACGTCTTTATATAATAATGATAAAATAAGAATTATAATATTCATAACATGTTATTCGATTGTGGTTTAATCAATAATTCTAGTTCTGTGTTTTGAGAAGACTAACTCATTCCAATCAAACTAATTTCTACTTGACTTTTTGGGTGTATAAACATAAATAAATACTTGAGCTTCAAACTGCTATTACCCAGTGCCGAAGGACAAGGGGTGTTATTTATGGATCGGGTTTTTACTTTACAGTAATTATCACAACACGAGAATCGTAATATCAAGTTTTATAATTTTTTTAAAGAGTTGCATTTGTCGGATTGTACTCACAGCCTTCGACCAATTTTTTATTGATCAAATTAAGAAACGCATTTTTAGATTAGACAGGGTAACTAAAAAAATTAATGAATCAGCCAATTTATTTTTTTGGATAAATCAAGAATTGCAAAACTGAATACTTTGAAATCTTGTAAACATTTTAAGTTAATGTAAGCATGGTAAATTAATGTATTTGCTTATCCCCCCAAAAATTGATGACGTCACCTCAAAATTTTACCAAATAAATCTTATCATAAACGTGCAAAAAATGATAAGTCTATACTTGTGATTTACCACTGCATTAATATTTTTTAGATTTGCTTATACGGGGTGTCTCAAAAAAATTAATGACTATCAATTTATTTTATTGATTAAATCAAGAAAAATCAAAATTGAATATTTGAAGTTTTGCATACGTTTCGAAATTATTGTAAGCATGGTAAGTTTTTAATCAAAATGTACGTGTTTTAATTAAATTGATGACGTTATCTCAAAATTATGCCGAATAAATTCTACCCAAAATGTGCAAAATATGATGAATTTTTACTTAAAAAAATTAATGAATGAATCAATTTATTTTATTGATTAAATCAGGAACGACTCGTTCCATTTTCCCAGAAAATTTTAGGAATACAATACTGATATTTTTAGTAGCTGATGACGTCATCGAAAATTGTGTAAAGAAAAAACTCAACTCAAAAATGCTGGATATGTTTCATTGTACTTGAGGAGCGAGGGAAGTTCTGTCGAAACAACTTTCGACCAATTTTTTCATAAGTTAAAATAAAAATACGTATGATAATGTTCAAGTATAGGTAAAAAAGCGAGTTTTTCAATTGGAAAATTTTGTGATGACGTCATTAACATTTTGCATGGATACGTATAGTAATATAGCGTAGGATAAATGCAGCGATTACTATACATCCTTAGCTTACGGGCAATAAGTAAGAGGCAACGACTCGAAGTGTTTATCTTTATACATACGGAAAAATATTAAGTAGTTTGATTTGAATGAATTTGTTGCCTTAAAACAGAAGATTTAAATTATTAATTAAGCCGCAATCGAACAAAACGTGCTAAATATTATCATTATAATTCTTATTTAAGCATTATTACGACGTGCGTATTCTCAGATTTTCGAGAAAATGGGGTGACCCTTCTTAAATTGATCGTCAAAAAATTAGAGACTGATTAAATTTAGTTTATCTAATGGAAAGAAAAAGGGGTAGGGTGGTTAGACAGATATACATATTTTGATTAAAAATTTACTATGCTTACAATAACCTTGAAACCTGTGCAAGATTTCATAACATTCGATTTCTTAATTCCTGATTGAATCCATAAAATAAATCGACTGAATCATTATCTTTTTTGAGTCGCTTTTAATGCAATTCTAAAAATAGAAAGACAATGATAAATCCTAACTACAAACTTATCATATTATGCACATTTTCGATAGGATTTACTCGATACAATTTTGAGATGATGTCATCAATTTTTTGAGGGCATAAAAACATGTATTTTTATAAAAAATTTGCCATGCTTACGATAACTTTAAAATTTAATAACATTCTTAGCAGCTCCTGATTTTATCATTAAAATAAATTGCCTCATTCATTAATTTTTTTGAGTGACCTTGTAAAAGCAAATCTAAAAAATATGAATGAAATGATAAATCGCAAGTAGACTCATCATATTTTACACATTCAAGATAGGATTTATTCCCAAAATTTTGAGGTAACGTCATCAATTTTTTGAGTAAAAATTTACCATGCTTTTGATAACTTTAAAACATCTGCAAGATTTCAAAGTATTCGATTTTGCAGATTCAAAATTAAATTGCAAAATGTTGTTTTATAATTCTGATTTTTTTACCAAAAATCTGGACGTTTCCGGTAAAAAGCCAACACGGCGTCATAAACTACATGTGTAGGACTATGTTATTTTATACAATTTAAAACCCATTTACAATGTATAATTTTGAGGTGACGTCATCACATTAGTAGTGGGGATGATTAGACAAAGTTTGGTTAACGTTTTAAGATCTATATGATATTCATAATACACATATAACTTGACAACAGTTGGTCCAGTAGTTTCGGAGATTATCTATGTAACAAAAATCGTCACGGACAGTGGACAGACAGACGGACAGACATACAAACAGACAGACGGAAACGGGAGATTAATTTTTTCATACTTTAGGGATGATGACTCATCGAGAAAATAT